AACGAAATAGAGGAAAGAACTAGGAGGAAAAGGACACGTATAGAGGTCGAAATACAGCCATATACATATGTAAATATGTTCATACATAATGATAGGGAAATAGATATGTATACCTATATTTATATGTTAAGTATTAAAGTAACAGATGGACATTGGGCCTCAACGTAAGTACTCCCTCATTATAAGAACACATTGTTCTAATAATCCGGCATTCTGTGATGCTCACCTTCCAGACACGATGATCACTGAAGACAAAATAGGTGCATAAGCAAATGTGAAGAAAGCTGATGGCGTCCAGCTATCAAAAGATATAGTATCTGGGGTCTTAAAGGCTTGAAGATAAACAAAGAAAGGAAAGAAGAAAGAAATAGATCAAATACTGACCAGAAGGAACTGAAGGAAAAGAAAAAGGAGAAAGATAGTTAAATTGTCAATTGGCCTGACATAGTGTTGGCACCTTGAAGTTTTGAACATATATGACCAACACAGGAACAAAGCCAGATAAAAGATTCACTCCCATTGAGTAGATGCTGACTCATAGCAACTCTGTAGAAGTATCTAATGTAAGATACAGCTACACAACTGAAAATAGGGAACCAGAGATGTCAGTTTGTAAATGAAGACAACTACAAAGCAAAGAGAATGAATAAATAGTACAGTTAAAGGTAGAATGGACTGTTTAACTTGGGAAGAAAATAATAAATTATAGGGTACTCAAAGAAAATTAGTAAACTATCAAAATAGGAAGGGGGAATCATAAAGATTGAGTAAACAGTAACACAACAGCAATGAAAGAAATCGTGGGAAACAGAACCAGGCAGAGAGTTTATGTGGACAAATTCTCTATCTTCATACATTAAGGAGTCTGGGAGACCAGGGCTCCCATGGAGGGAGACCTTGGCCTTTGTAAACTGGAGATGCATTTCAGTCACATTGTGCTAAGTAAAAGTTATTCCCCACAATGCCCCACCCCCATTATAATGCCAATTTTGAAGTGCTGTTTGCAAGCATAAGGTCGCTTACTATACTCTTGAAGGTCAGCTGCTTGAAGGCTATCTGCTTAAAAGTTATCTGCCATCCAAAGAAGTCAGGTCATCTAACCCTAAGTACACCCCACTCCCTTCAGATAAGGATCATAGATTGTTCCTAGAAGAAGAGCTTAGAGATACCCAAGGTCAAACCAGTTCGGAGATGACCAAGGTTAGGCTGCCATCTTGACTCTACGCCCCACCCACCTTGTTATGCATGTTCCTTCCTGTCACATGATGCCTTTAGTACTTCCCTTTCCTATTGCGGGTATACCCCTAGCTGGTCCCCCTCATGTTATGTGCATCTCTCTAATGCAACCCCTTCCTGTTCCATATGTGCTTATCATGGCTTGCATGCCCAAGATTGTATAAGCTGTGAAAGAATACATTACTGCATCATTCTGGTTCTGGTTTCCATGGAAGAGGTGAGCCCTTGCATGCCTTTTCTCATGTCTCTTTAATTTACCCCTCAATTACACAACTGCCCCTTAGGACCCATCCAGATGTGGGCTGGATCTTACACCCAGTGGGTTTCTGATAAAATTGTTTGCTCTTTAGGCAAATGGGACAGAACCACCACCTTCCATGCTTTAAGGACCTGGGAAACGCTGATGGGAGCTAATGAAGCAGCAGCTGGTCTATCTCTCTGCCTAAGATAAAATGGATACTTTGCCTCATGATCCCTGGCAAGGCTGCAGAAGCAGCAGTCTGCAAACTTATCTGTTATTTCATGTTCCTAACCTTGTTCTCCCTTCCTGTTTGCAAACAGCATGGCTGATGTGTTAATGATTCTTTGTATACCCTCAAATATAGCAAAACTGCCCCTTTTGTGTAAACCTGTCACATGATGCAGGCTATGTGCAGGAAGGGAGGATATGAGTGGGTACTCTGCAAAAAATGATTTTTTCCCCTAAAGCTATGTATTAGAAATTTTTTTTTTTTACAAAACAACCTCATCACCTTCAAAGTACTCTCCATTTTACTTCATACATTTGTCAAATCTGTGATTCCAATTTTGAAAACGTTTTTCAAACTCATCTGTTTGGATGGCTGATAGCATCTCCCTTGTTTTTTTCTTCACCTCTTCTACACCGTCAAATTGCTTTCCTTTCATGTCCCTCTTCATTCATGGAAACAAAAAGAAGACACATTGAGTGAAGTCAGGTAACTAAGGTGCACAAGGCAAGAGAGGCATGCTCTTTTTTTTGCCATAAACTGGCACACTGAGATGGCTGCATGAGCAGGTTCACTGTTGTGGTGGCAAAAACAGTCTTCCAAATAAAAACAAAACAAAACAAAAAACAAACAAACAGTCTTCCATCTCCCACAAATCAGGTCTTTCTCCTGAAGAGCAGTGGTTTTGAGCTGTCAACCATGTAGATCACACCCCAATGTGTAACTACTACACCACCAAGGACTAATGTTACACTCTCTTGCAAATCAGTGGAGGACATAGCTTTCCTTTTAGCTGTTCTTCAGGAACCAACAGCCACATTCAAAAGGTAACCATCACAAACCAGACTCACCTTGGACCCGCACCCTGTGCAGACCTTTTCAGCCAATGGAACCAATATACTAAACCCCCTAGCAAAATTTCCTTGTTTCTTGGAGCACAAAATTCCAGATATTTCAGATGCCTGTGTAATGAATTAAAAATTGCATGTCTTTTAAATAAAGCTTACATAAATGTAACCGATCCCCAGTCTTAGACCACTTCTTTTATAAATATGTATAACTTTCTTGTTTATCACCTCATAAATCTGAAAGACCACAGCTTTATGGGAAGTCAGATCTGAGAAGCAGTCCTCCTGGCTCCTTTGCTTTGCAATAGAGTACCTTTCTCTTTCTCACAGATTGGAGAATAATGGTGTGAAGGCAGTATCTTACCACTGCTGAGTTCACAAAACCAAATTCAAACTCACTGACATGCTGACTCATAGGGACCCAATAGGACAGGGCAGAACTGCCCCTGTGAATTTCCAAGACAGTGACTCTGCACAGGAGTAGAAAGCCTTATCTTCTCCTGCAGAGCGGCAGGTAGTTTCAGACTGTTCTTCACCTTGAGGCCCAATGCATAATCACTTGGCTACCAGGCCTCCTTTGAGTTCACAAGGAAGTAAACTCTAAAGCAATATCAGCTCAAGGCTAATTACTATGGGACGTAAGTCAGGCATACCTCCATTCTCCAATATCTTATTTTAAACCAAATCTGACACCATTTGTCTCTTCCACGGCCCTTAGTGCAATGGCCATACAGAACTCACAAATCAAACTCACAATTATGGGGCTTATTAAGGAAACAAATAAGTTACAATTAAAGATAAAAAATGCTCAGGACTGAATTCTTCTAGTAAGTCCGGCCTGAGGGCTGTATGCTGTTAAGTGTTGTCACATAAGATCTGACCCCTAGCAACCTGAGACAACAGAGATCTTGAGTAAAGTGACTGTATGGTACTGATAGTGTGAAGTGAAAAACGAAGATCTGTTCCTTTTAACACTTCTATATTGTACAAAAACATCTATAAAAAGATCATGCACCAGGAATATATGAATTTAGTATCTGACATGCAAAGAGGCTAGAGGTCAGAAGGGTGAGAGAGCCATAGTGAAGGTGGAGAGTAGACATTAATTTTTCCCTCTCCAACGCCCAGCGTCTAAGGCTAATAATGTAGTGACAGAAGGAGAGTTACTGATCAGTCCTTGCATGTAAAATGAATTTATGGACTTGTCTATTCAATCGAGAATTAATGGCTTGAATTTAACAGAAGGTCTTTTCTCTCCCCTTTACTTACGGCTAGCAGATTTTTTTATTCTATTATTATCTACTGGGCAGTGTAAGGAGAATGTAAGTAAAATGAATGTGCAAGCCTGTAATGAATGTGAAAACCCTGTGTTAGCATGCATTTAATTAAAGCAAGGTCACTGACTTATTCTCTAAAGTTTTAAGGTCATTTTTCTAGTATAACAGCACATGCTCTTTAGACCAGGTGAACGGAAGCCTAACAACTTATAAGTTAATATTTAAAACATAGAAGTATTTATACCTCTTCTTTTATCATAAGCAGACAGTCTGCTTGTTTTAAATATATTTAGTCAAAAACACCATTCTTTATTTATAATAACATTTTTCTTATTTATTTATTAAATGGTTTTATTGGCACAAATCTGCATACACCAACACCGTTCTTGTTGCTGCTGTTGAGTCAGCTTCAACTCCCTGTATAACAGAAGGAAACAGTCCTGTGCCATTTTCAGGATTGTCTTTAGGTTTGAGCCCATTGTTGCAGCTACTGTGTCAATGCATCTTGGAGCACCATTCTTAGAATTCACTTTTCTGAAATATGCATGTGGTGAAAGGATTGTGACATTGAGAACACATTGTGTATCAATGGTAGCAGCATCACACACTTAATATCACAAACAAGGTGTCAGTTCCAGTTTTCCAAGGAGTTAACAGAATTTAAGTAGCTCCCCCAATGTATAGAGCTAGTTAGGCTTTCTACTCCTTTAAAGAGTTACATGGGGGAGGGAGTACTAGAACTGATTGTGATTATACAACTCATTTGAAAGGCGATTTAACCATGTGGGAGTGTTCTAAAATTGATTGTATAATTCTTTATGATATGAGTGAATGATGGAACTATTGAACTGTACAATATGTGGATTAGGTGCGAATAAAGATGAAAAAACAAAAGAGTTACAGTGTCAGTTTTGACCCATAATAGAGAGCACCTCTTCCGTTAAAATTGGATAGATGAGTGAGCTGAAGTTCAGATTGTTTAAATTATCTGTTCAAGGACAGATAATTTGATATAAGTAGTTCCCCTATGTCTGGAATACCACCCCTGTGATCCCCCCACCCCCAACCCACACAGTTTCCAAACTTGACAGGGTTTTTTCTTTTTATCCTCTTCCATGACACAGGTTGCTAACATCTTTCTCAAATATTTCCCTGGCCTTTTTTTTTTTTAATGTCACAGGAATGAAATAAGGCTGAGCCACAGGAGAGGCCCAGCCCTTTGAACTCTTCTGCCATCCCTGACCTCTTAGATGGGAGTAAACACTCCACCTTCTCTTGTTTCACTGCTTTAATTATATAGTTACACATTTTGTAATATCTTATTAACTAAACTGTAATCTATATGAGGGTAAGTACCAAGTTAAACTAAAAAAACCCCAAACTCATTGCCATCAAGTTGATTGATTCATAGTGACCCTATAGGACAGGGTAAAACTGCTCCTGTGAGTTTCTGAGACTGTAACTGTTTGGGGGATTAGAAAACCCATCTTGAGCACCTTGCTCAGCTAAACGGTCATTTTATGATATCTACCTTCCCGACATGATCGCTGAAGACAGATGTGTGCATAAGAAAATATGGTGAAGAAAGCTGATTGTGCCCGGCTATCAAAAGATATAGCGTCTGGG